GGAAGTTCTTCCTCCTTCATCAACTCCACCATGTACAGAGGAAAATCTCCTTCCGTCCATGCTGAAAAGGTTAGGTGAACTTGAAGAAAAGGTTGACACACTCCAATCTAAGCCATCCGAGATGCCTTCCGAGAAAGAGGAATTGTTGAATGCTGCTGTGTGCCGGGTGGATGCTTTGGAAGCTGAATTAATTGCTACTAAAAAGGTAGAATGCTTATGTTTTTCACTACTTTCTGAAGATTATGCTGTCATGCCAATGCTCTCTATATTTATGGGGTATATGTGTAAAGCATTGAGATATATCCATTTGTTCGTTTTCCTCATAATTTTTATTCTTTATATTTAATACTAAAAGCATGCCATTGCTTCATGTTTGTGCATTCCAAAATGGCATAGTGTATAGGGTGGAGATATGATGAATACAGGGTCTCATATATTGCTTACTCGAGTCCCTAACATTTGGATTTGATGAATTCTGCATAGGCTCTGTATGATGCATTAATGAGGCAAGAAGAGCTGCTTGCTTACATTGACAGACAAGCAGAGGCCAAGTTGCGGGTAAGTGTATCTTGTGAACTAAGTTAAAACCTTGAAATGTATCAGATTTTTTATATTTTTATTTCCTTCATTTGCTGTGTATCAGAAAAAGAAATTTTGCTGGTGAGATTTATTACTGGGAAAGAGATTCTGCAGAGGATGTCTCAAAGAACGGTTGTTCTCAAGGAATGTTAACCTTGCACATGATGTAACTCTGACAGCCACTCATTTTCAGTATAATATGAGCAAACATAATGGAGAATTGTTTCAACGTGTGTATATCCAGAAGTGCTATCTTTGCTACCTTGTAAAACACGAGCCTTTTTGTTTTTGTCATGGTTACCCTCATTTATCCTTGTGATTAATTTGTTAGTTGAAAAACTTTTTTTTTCCCGCTCTATCTTTATTTTTTTCTCCCCGGGTGTGTTGGATTAGGGAGGGAAGTATATGGAGAGAGAGAAAGAGAACAAAAAAGACATGAAGAATAGTAGATAAAAAATAAAGTGAAAATAGATGTTTAGTTAAAATAAAAATAGAGTGCGCGTTAATTTTTTGAGAGGTTATTTAATTTAAAAATAATAAATATAAATTATATATATAATAAATTATGCTAATATATATATATATATAATGTTTGGTTTTTTTTTTCTATCTCCTTTACTTGTTGCTTTTTTTTTTCCTCTGGGTGTTTTTGATAGGGAGGAGGGAAATAGAGGAAGAGAAAGAGAAGATAAAAGAAGTAAAGATAAGAAAAGTAAGTAAAAAATAAAGTGAAAATATAAGTTATTTAATTGAAGGAAAATAAAAAGGCAGAGTGAAAGTTAATCTATTGAGAAGTTATTTAATAAATACAAATATATATGAGAACGGTTTCATTTACTCTAAAAATTTATTTCATTTAATAATTTGTGTTTTATATTAAATTTTAATGATTTAATAATTAAATTAAAGAAATTTAACGTATATATCAAGTTTATAAATTTTTAAAATATATGAAAATTATTTGATATTTTATTATATAAGTTCTAATCAATATATAAAATAATTTTATAATTATCTATCAATTTGAATTAATGCTACAACACTTTGAGTTTTATTTTTAAAAAAGTTAATAAAGATTTTAAATAATTAATTGGATTATTTTATTAATGAGGGTTAGCAAATAAAAAGGAATATTTAAATTATTTAATTATGAGTTATTAATTAATTATTAAGGATGGAAGAATTTAGTTTAAATTTGAGATTATTTTCGAACTGATTCAAACAGAACTCAATTTTTGTCTATGATAACAGAAAATTATTTTTAATCTCAAAATTGATTCAAATTGAACAGCAAACACAATTACGAGCCACATTTTCAAAACTTTCTAACTTTACCGTTTTGTCATTAATCTTTAATGGATAAGTTTGTGTAGCTCGTTTATTTTTAGGCGGGGTGAATTTGCATCCTTGCCTCTCCTCATATACCTTCATTAATAATTTCCCCTTTACAGTTTACTGTATTCAAGTATCCTCTACTTCTACTGTGTTGACTCATATCTACCAACCCCGAAGGGTTGAAAACTAGCTTGTAAGTATTGTAATTATTTTTTCTTATATCAATTAAAAAAAAGGGGAAATTGGTTTCACGTCTGTATGATTCACAGACTAACATAAAATAGGGAAAAAAAAGTATACAGCATATCTAAGACGACTATGTATTTCTCTCTAATACAGTATAGAGTATAATACATGCGTTTGAACAAATTATTTGATATGACCTGGGAAACTGCATATATGATAGGGTTATTTTGTGATATTTGTTTGAAATGATATTTTATAAGTATTATTTTTATAAAGTTATTTCACACAGTATAGAGTATAATACATGCGTTTGAACAAATTATTTGATATGACCTGGGAAACTGCATATATGATAGGGTTATTTTGTGATATTTGTTTGAAATGATATTTTATAAGTATTATTTTTATAAAGTTATTTCACACACAATTTCACAATGATGAGATATTGTTCGCTTTAGGACTAAGCCCTCACGGTTTTACTTTTGGTCATCACCCAAAAGGCTTCTTAATCGTTGGAGTATGCTTGTGTTTTATAAGTTGTTATTTTTTCTTTTATTTTATTGATGTGAGATTTGTTTATATCCCAACAACCCTCCCCTAATTACGAGCCACATTTTCAAAACTTTCTAACTTTACCGTTTTGTCATTAATCTTTAATGGATAAGTTTGTGTAGCTCGTTTATTTTTAGGCGGGGTGAATTTGCATCCTTGCCTCTCCTCATATACCTTCATTAATAATTTCCCCTTTACAGTTTACTGTATTCAAGTATCCTCTACTTCTACTGTGTTGACTCATATCTACCAACCCCGAAGGGTTGAAAACTAGCTTGTAAGTATTGTAATTATTTTTTCTTATATCAATTAAAAAAAAGGGGAAATTGGTTTCACGTCTGTATGATTCACAGACTAACATAAAATAGGGAAAAAAAAGTATACAGCATATCTAAGACGACTATGTATTTCTCTCTAATACAGTATAGAGTATAATACATGCGTTTGAACAAATTATTTGATATGACCTGGGAAACTGCATATATGATAGGGTTATTTTGTGATATTTGTTTGAAATGATATTTTATAAGTATTATTTTTATAAAGTTATTTCACACACAATTTCACAATGATGAGATATTGTTCGCTTTAGGACTAAGCCCTCACGGTTTTACTTTTGGTCATCACCCAAAAGGCTTCTTAATCGTTGGAGTATGCTTGTGTTTTATAAGTTGTTATTTTTTCTTTTATTTTATTGATGTGAGATTTGTTTATATCCCAACAACCCTCCCCTAAAAAAAAGAGATCTAACCTTTCATGCAGCGGAATCTGTCTTTATATATCACATTATTAGTTATGAGAGGTTATGAGGGTTAGTCCTTTAAAATCCTAATCCAATACACTCCCCTAAGATTAAATAGGGTTATATAGGGTTAGAGTTTTCTTTATAAAAGAAGTTATGCTTGGATTGTCTCACGCGTCTCACTTTTCTTTACACTTGTGTGCCTTAAAGAGCTTGAAAAATTAGAGGTATCTAGAGATGATTTTAGAGATTTGCACCCAATTGTTAGTATTTACTGATGTAAGAGTGAGAAAGTAATTTTGCTTTCGGGTATGTGTTATATATAGGAACGAGATTACAAGATTGACTCCCAATCTTGTTTTGTTTATGTATGTTATATGAGGGAGAAACCCAAAATTTTGAATGTGAATTGTATTATTGTGTCCATATAATTCTTTTGTACTCTAATTAAAATAATTGATAAGTAATCATATTTATATTGTTGGTATAAGTGCTTATAATTATGAATATATGGGTACCTATAGATTCATGTGTAAACCTTAAGAATGGAGTAAACTAAATTATTAATAGTAATGAATATGAGTAAGTGAATGGATGTCTTAACAATGTTTAATCATGCTTGTTGTGTGTTTTGACCGATTATAATTCATTAAAATGCATGTTGATGACATTGTGTGAATTTTGCTTTTTTGCAAAAGCATTTGTTATGACGTGACATCAAGTGTCGTGTGGCCACCAAGTGTGGGAGTAGCAAAGAGTAAAAGTTGTGCTTTATATTTGGTTTCCTATTTAAAGCTCCCATTCTTCATCTTTTATTCTTTTATTTCTTCATCTTCTTCATCTGTTGGGTTCAATTTGAGTTCTTATTCTACTCATAAGTTCTAACATTGAGTTCCTATTCTGTTATTGTTTCTATTCTTTTGATATTGTTGTTTTGATATTTAATTATTTAAGTTGATATTCTGTTGTTTTTAATTTATTTATGTTGTTTGTTATTTATTTTTTGTTTTTGTATTATATATATATATATGTCATTGTGTCCACCATAGGTTGTCATATGTATACAAGTTTTTGTCACATTGTCATAAACTGTTATCTGTTATTGATAACTTTGGTTGAGTCATGTATGTGGTTATCAATCTATAGCTTATATCGGTAGTTAGAATGAAATATTTCTTACTTTCATTTTCTCTTTGTTGATGTTTGGTGTGTGCTTGTAGGTGATGTTCATTATGGGGATGATGAGACTAGAGACAAAACTTAGGTCTTTCATTAAATTATGCTTTGATAGGATGTGACATCGAGATAGTAGTTAGGACTTTATTTCTATTAGTTGAATTTAATGTTAATTTTGTTGTATTTACTCTTTTAAATCACGATTTTATTTATTGTTTTGATTCCGTTCGTTATATGATATTTTTTTCCCATGAAAATCTGTCTTATTCAGTAAAAATATTTTGAAAAATCTTTTTTATGATTATTGAATTATATGTTATGTTGATATGAAGTAGATGATGTCACATTTAATGGTATCAAAAAATGGTATTAAAACACATTTTCTCTTCTAATACGGAGCGGTTTGGAGACAAATCAAAACTTTGGTGACTTGTAAAAATATATTTCATGATTATTGCACAAGATAATTCCAAAAACTTATTTTACATGACATTTGAGAATGATGCAAAGCGGGTTACATTGATAACACAAAAACTAGTGTTACTATCAATGGATTTGAAGACCAATAATTCGGAAAGCAATATAGTCTGATATTTTTCTAGCATAAAAGTAACCATGCCTAAATTGATCCAACGTATGCACAGTTGTCAAGGAATGGGAAACTTTATATTGTGCAGGAGTTTATAATCAAATACTTTATAGCTGTTGAAAGAGAAAGTCTCCAATTTTACAACTCTTCCTCATGTAGCAAATCACGCAGTGAAACAGCGGAGGCCGCGGAACTGTAATCACAAAGCCAAAAAATGTGTCAACATAAGTGGTTGATATAATCTATAGAAGAAATTTGCATGGCTGCAAAGTATGACATACCAACTTCTTCTTTTTCTTCTTCTCAATTTGAGCTTGGAGATCCACTTGTCGAGTAAGGGCATCATCAAGTGCCTAAATCCGAAATAAAATAGTAAGCAAAATAAAACACATTGTTATGAAGGCATTGAATTGAAGAATAAAAGTGGTAAACCTTTTTGGTGGAAACCAAGTCTTGTTCCAGAGTGGTGACTCTGCTGAGAGCATTAGTGAGCACTTCCTCCTTTTCAAGTGGCATGCTAGGTCTCTTGCTGAGGACGCTCATTCTCTCTTCTAGTTCAGCCATGCGCTTCATCATGGCCATGTAATCATTGCATGATATGTCCGCCGCTTTCATTATGCTACCATCATATAATCCTGCGCTCCCATACAGTGCTGCTTCAGTGATTTTCCTTGGCATGTTCCTTGTCATGCGGATCATGGTCACTATTCCCATCACAAACGCCATTATTCCACCAATGAACTGGTTGCTCAACCCATCAGAAGCACTCTTGCTAGGGAAACATTCTGCTCCTTTTGCAAAATCAATTTAGTTTTAACAAAAGCAAGTACAATACAACACAACAGTGCATGGGAAAATTCATTCTATATGGCAGTACGTGTTACGTAATAATACCTTTAGAAAGTGCAACTTTATCATTTTGTATTAATTTATTCCAGGATGAATCCATTGGCTTATTGAGCACAGTGCCAAATGCGTCACACTGATACGCACCACATTTCTTTACGCCCTGCAATATATATAAAGGCCATTCATCAGAAACATTACATGACTTTGAGAAAGAAATTTTGATTTACATTGCATCATGTAATCAAACTTACTTTTTGGGATACACACTTGACATCAACATCGTATGTCTGTGGAAATGATTCTTTGATTGCCTTGATTTATAGAGCCAAAAGAAAAAAGTTATACTCAGTTATAAAAATTTCTGACAAAGCTTTTCATTCTGAAATTGCCAAAAGGTAGGAAACTCACTACATTTTGAGGTGTTGTATTATCTTCTGTGATTGTTTTCTCCTCAATCCCGGATAAGATTTTTCTCTTGCATTTGCCCTCGCCATTTTGAATCATCTAATTCATCCAGAACAAATACTTTATTGTTTTTCTTTGCTGTTCATGTAACTAGAGAGAAAAAAAATTACTTTCTACAGTAAACTACCTTCAAGATGTCTGGGTTGTTCCATGGCCCCTTGTCAGAAAGCATACAACCACCTTTATCTTCACAAGTGCAAGTGCCACCCAAGAACTCTGGAAGTTCACTGGTAAATAGATAGAGAACTGAGGTGTTATTAATGGTCTTAATTAATGAGTAAATCAAGTGTCACAATGGAAGACAGATCTAATTATTTATTTATAAATCAACCCAATTTGGTCACAGTGTGAACTTGGATAGCATAAATTTCTAGGAAGATGAGTGTCAACTGTGAAATAAAACACTTTAATTCAGTGAGAGGAGATAAATTTAACCTGGCATCAATGATTTCAAGCAACTTGCTCTGGTATTTGTTACCTAGGACCTGATCAACAAATCATTAATCTGTTCAGTGTCCCTGCTTAACTGAAAATCAACCTTGGTTCATAAGACTAAAAATGTTTACATGGATTTTTGCGGTGGTCTTGGGATCTAGGAACGACTTAATGGTGTTCCACAAGAGCCTAAATCCAGAACCAGCATTGATGATGAACATACGGTTCAGTGACTGCATAGAAAGGAAAGTTCAATTAGATAATTTGAGAAGGCAATTCAAACTTTTGCCATGCCTATGTAGATAAAATAAACTAGTACAATACCTCAGGGTAGTTGTCACCATCAATCTTCTGAAGCCTCTGGAGGAGATCCCTAGCAGCTTTGTTCAAACTTTTAAGGCCCTGACCAAGCATGCTAGTCAACAATTGTGTGCAACTTCATTCCATGTGAAAAGCATAATAACAATTGATATCATGATATGATATGCACCAAAAATAACATTGGAAATGAACATTGCCTTGTTAAATTTATGTTGGATAGCATTTAACATTGCCTTGTTCAAACTTTTCTCTTGTTGGTTTTTCTTTGGCAAAGGGATTGAACTATATAGCCCTAAAATTTTATACATACCACTCCTTGCACATCCAAAATAGTTGTGCTCTGGTCAATGTGCTTCTTTGCTGCAATGGAACATGCAGGCAACTTAACAGCAAAGGTCCTCTCAAACTCTTTTACATGGTATTTGAGATAACGATCCATTGTTGTTACTTGCATCAGCTTGGTAGAGTCAACCTGGCCCAACTTTTCAATGTAAACAGGTCGTCCCTCCTTGTCAACCCCATGATGTCCTTGTGGGTAGTACTTTAGAACTTCATCCTGTTCCTCGAATTCAAAATCCTTAAAGACAAAAAAAATTATAACATTAGATACATAAATAAAGTTATACAAAACATCACAAGATGAAGAGTGAATTTTCTTTTTTTGCACAAGAATACCTCCGCGATAGTGTCAGCACCAAATTCCTTCCTCCATTTAAGCATATCTGCCCACATTTGTTTTGTTTTCTCAATGTCATACTTCCTTGCTCTTAGGAATCTGAATCATAGTACAATTAAATTACAGGGAAATTAATAGAATTGTGAAATTAAGTCATTAAACATAGCTATTCATACTACAGCTAGTAAATAAATAAATAAATCACTGAACAAGAAACCATGTCACAAGGCTACCTTAGCATCATGTGATGATCATCATGTTTTGAAGGCAATAGCTCTTCCAAGATTAGTGCTTGGCGAAAAGCATCAACTGCTTGCAACTCTTCTACATCAATGTCATCAGCAATGGATAGAGACATAACCCTGCTGTGCCTCCTCCCCCTCTTGCTCAGGGAATTTTTCAACTTAGATGAGGCACTGATTGCCACCTTCTTGAACGATCCAACCCTTTTCTTCTTTTCATCGTCAGAACATTCAAGTTCATGAACTAGAAGAAAAAAATTAGCCACAGAAGCTTGAATAAGATGATAGAAAGAAAGAAATTCACACTCTAAACATCCTCATCTGATGATATACCTGTTTCCATTAACAACATTTGCACAAATAAATTACATGTTTTTCAAATACATGACATCTGGATTTATAATGCTTAGTTTGTTATCGAACCAACAATTAATGAATAGCAGTATAGCATTGAAAGCATTATTATCCTTACAATTTTATAGGTATATTCAATTACGTAAAACCAGTAACATTAATCTATTGTGTTTGTTTGGAACTTTATATTGGAGTTGTTGCAATTGAAACCAAACCCTAGAAGAAATCAATCATTTGCATTTCTAACATTGATTCACATTTCTGTAAGATGCATGCATATAGGCTTTAATAAGATAAGCAAGCACATCTGACTATAAAATGTTTGTCTATGATGATTAACTAATGTCAATTTCATATATTCATTTTTCCCATCATCAATTCATCACAAATTAAGGCTATGTTCGGATATCCGTTGAGAGGACTCAACCAGACGTTGATTCCGATTCATGCTTTTCCGATTAACAGACTTGAAATGCGTGAAAATAATAAACCAAACACCCACTAAGAAACCTGCAGTATTCCACATTCTAGCTGGTGTAAAACAGATAAAGAGATTATTTGGATACAAGCTTAAGAAACATTCTTTAAAACTTCTCTATCCAAAGATATTCTTTATTTTCAATCGAAAAGTTCTCAAAAACACTTTACTTGAATGCAAACAGACTCAAAGATTTCGTTGTGCATGCATAAAATTGCAGACAAAATCTGCAGAGGATGTTGTGAAATATGAAATTGAACGAATTAGACTTACCAGGTTTCATGAGTCGGTCAACAGGCGTGGACATAACTTCAGCCATGATTAATTGAATCTTGCAATTATAAGCTTGTTCAAATGAGCAAAGACAGCCCTGAGGCAAACAAAAATCAAGTACTATAATACATCAAATGCCCAAAACGGAGATTTGACGTACGCCTGCACGTTAATATAGCCATGAAAAAAAACGTGTCAGAATTAAACCAATGCTTATAATGCAATATATTTAGCATGCATGGAAAAAGATAAAACCGAGAAAAAGAAAGAAACATAGACATGTTAAAATGTTAACGATCAAATATGCTGCTCATGCAACTAGAAATGCTAATAATATGGTGTATAAATCTCGTTTATGAATCAACATCATTATTTTCATACAGTTAATGTTGGAAGGAGAAGGAGGTAATAGAATCTTAGATTGTACCTTGACACAGGAATGTAGCTAGGGACTGCAAAGCCAGGAGAAAAGTGCAATATATGATCCAAATATATCTCTCAAAAACAAGCAGATAATTTTAGAGTTTGCTATTTTTTTTTTATGTTTTATTTATTGATTGTCAATTTCCGTTGACGGGGTCTTGATGAGGTGATTCTTTGTCAGCTTCAGTTGCTATGAGAAATGGCGTTGGCGAAATGCAAGCCACTCCGTTGCTTCACAATGTCACATTATTTTTATTATTATTATTATTATTATTAACCATACCTAACAGCTCATACATTATGAGTTTAACATTATCTTTGTTCCAGATACTCTCTGTAAGTACACACCTCCATTGCATTCTAGCTTCATTTTTACCATTAAAAGAAAAATAAATATCTTGAGAATTTAATGTTAAAAATGTCTCACTATCTTCGGTTTTAAAAAGGAATTATTTAGGATCTTTACAAATCTATTATTTATGTTTCAAATCTTTGTAACATTATTTAAATTTAAAGATGTTAATATTTTGTTTTGACTATTTTAAGATTTGTCTCTTTTTCAAGATTAAGATGTTATCCATATTTAAAATTTTGTATTGTAATTGTCAAGAAATAAAATTTTGACAAACTCTTCTGAAAAAAAGGAAAATATTTCTCTAAAAAGAAAACAACCATTAGATATTACCTTTTGAGTTAAAAAAGAAAACAAAAACTATTATAAAGCAATGAAGTAGAGATGTTTACTTTTTGAAATTCTGATCTGATAAGAGGTCAAATATTTGACGTAACTATTTTATGGAGAACTAAAACAGTAAGTATCTTTTTTTAAGAAATTAATTTGGTAATAAATTAAATCTTTGAAAAACAATTTATAAAAAAATATTTAAAGAACTAAAATGATGAAAAATAAAATATTTAAGAGACTATATAATTGGATGACCAATATTTTTAAAGAACTAATGTGGTGATGTGTGTATAACTTTGAATGATCAAATTTTGGGCTCCTCGAATAAAAAAATTAAAATATATTTTCTCTGTATCAAATTTTGATAGAGGGTTCTAGTGGAGTGATTTTCACTCCTTTCTTTCACAAAAAAATCTATTATTTCATATAAAAAAATCTACTATACAAGATTTTTATTTGGTTCGATGATTTTTTCTTTTTTGACTGTAGAAAGTATTTATTAGTTTTGGGTATTTTTAGTAGAATTCTTCTTTTTCATTCATTTTTTTATATAGACTTAAATTCGAGATACTATTCACATTATGAAGATTTTACTTTTTTAAATCTTTTAGAACCCTCTCACCCCCCTTGCCTACGTTGCAAAGGTGACAGCTGCATTTATTGGTTAAAATATGTATTTGGTTTGCACCTAATCATTTGATTAATTTGTATTAAAAAAATAGTTCAATTTGGAAAGGACTCCTTAGCAATGATACATTTTTCATTTTTCTCTTTTTCTTTTTCTTTATTTTATATTCTGTATATTTTTTTTTCCAAACTTTAGATAGAATTTCGCAATAATAATTTTATTGAAAAATAAGTGAAATGAAAAACAACTCAATTGCACATGTCACACATACTCACTCCTTTTACCATGATATTAATGTAAAATATTCTCTATTAAAAGTAAAGACTTATTATCTTTATTAAAATATCCACTATTAAAAATGATAATTTATCTTTATCGATGATAATTAATAATTATTAGTACATAAAAAGTGAGTATTCCCTTTTTAACATAATTAATTCCATATTTAAGACTAGAATTTTAACTCTAATTAAATATCTTTTAACCATATGATGTTGCAACATATTTATTTGTAATTTTCAACAAATTTTAGTTAATAATAAAGATTTAATAGAACATAATTGATTAAAAACTTACTTGTAACGTAAATACAACACTAAATTAGGTTGGGACACTCCCAAACGTAAACTGAGCTGATTCTAATAAATTTCAAACACCTGAAAAATCAATATTGGGCGAAGCTGAATTAATGACATATATAACTTATAAGATATTAATAATGTATTTTAAATAATTAAGAGGTATTCTTGAAGGGATTAAAAAGACGCATAACTGATAATTAATCCATTTATGGACCATCATATATATAAAAAAAACATACTAATTAAATAGCCCTAATCTTTCCGAGGCTATACTTGTTGACACAAATAGGATGCATAGTAATTACTTATATATAACAATTAAAAGTTTAGGTAAGGGAATGATGCCTTAATTCAAGGTGATCGAGAAAAGTCTTCAAATCAAAATAAAATAAAGTCTTCCTTAAAGTTAATTAATGTATAAATAGTTTCTCTCACTCAACTATTTATTTATTTTTATGTATGGCTTTTCCTTTTCCATTAATATATAAAATTGAATTTATATGATTTTGCTTGATTGAAGAGAGAGAGAGTGGCTATTGTTAATATGGAGCTCCACTAAGTCCATGTCGTGACTCCTACTCACTAAAATGTTCTTCCACATTTCACAAATTTCTTTCTCCATCAACAACATTAATTATCACACTCTAAAGCGAATAATAATATTAATTGAGATTCTCAGGTATTAAAATCTCACTCATAATTTTTTAAAACCCAGTTTTATAGTAAAATAAATTATATTTAATATTTTTAGAATGACTAAATATCGTATTCAGTAAAAATACAATATTGTCACTGGAGAGGATTCATTCTGTTATCACACACAAAATAAAATAAAATAGAACTAAAAAATGACTCGGTCAATTTGATAGATCTTGATGATATAAAAAGGGTAATGATGTTTTTCTACATCAAATGAGATAAGTTGATATGAAATTAGAAAAAGATAAAAAGAAAAGAGAAAAGTAAATAATCAAACTTTTTAACATGAAATTAGGAATTTATAATTTTTTAGAGATGAGAAAACTTTTTCTGCTATTATGAATGGAAAATTTGAAACTTTTGTCCGAGTTACTCTTTGAAATTGTTGAAGATACTTCAAATTTCTATAAACATACGCAGAATATTTATAGAAAAATTGAGATTGTGATACCTTTTACTCTAAATAAATAAATAATTATAACATAATAATTTTATAAAATAAAAATAAAATAAAATTCTTATCAATATTTTATAAAAATATTTACAATTCTTTAATCATAATTTTGTTAAATAAAGGAAATATAGAAAATAAAGTTTGAATCAATATAACTGTCTAATTTAATAAAATTTAAACAAAAAAATAATGAAATAGAATTTTAACAAATGCAAATAACTATTAATACTAAAATTCTGTCCCAATGTTATATTATAGCAAAACTTCTCTTTATGTCTCTCTCTCATCAAATACATCATCTTATACTTGTAATAATTTGCAAATAGTGTTTAGGCCAAATATAAATATGCAAACACATGGAGTGAGAATACATCTAATCCATAAACAACTTATATAAGACATAAATGTAGGCATACACATCAATAATGTCTCACACTCATATAAACATCATGCCCTATATCGAAAATAATCATCTCCATATATTCATTCATTATCCATAATCAACAAGTCATACAACATATATCAATTACAAATAAGACTTATGTAATAAAACTCGTAATTTTATATGCATGTGATACTAATATCTTCCTCCTCATCATTGAGAACACAAAATAACATAGTAATGTTACGAGACTACTCCATTGAATAATGTAGGGACCATCCATCAATAGTGTCTACAAACCACCTCAACTAAGGGATATCTATCAAGGTCTTGTCGAAGTGTTACAATTGGTCATTGTAATCTTTCATTCCAATTAGAGGTTTTCCCACCATAACATTTCTCGGGACATAAGTAGATGACTTATGATATTCGACCTACATATACTTATACTATCTCTCAAATAAAATATGTATGCATGGATTCAATACACACATCATGACAACACAATGTGTATGACTCATCTCCTAGAGTGTCAATCCACAATACTAGACTTATTCATCACATCTCATCATCAATATTCTCATAATATAAATCATTATAGAATTCATCATAATCATTCAATGATATCTCAACAATACTCTACACACATCATCATAATATTAGTCTAACAGATTTCATTGATTTACACATCACTACTCATTAATTCATTTTCTTAGTCCTCAATCTCAATTCCTCCTCACGATTCCTTAGTTATTAATTTATTAATAAGATAAAGCATCTTTTAAAAGTAAAAGACGTGACGCTCAACAGGATTTGACTGGCACACCTGGAGTGGAGAGGTTAAGGACCTCTCAGCCAAACTCATGCTCGACATGAGATTACTTGCGCTTGGCATGGTGAGGTTTAGGGCCTTTCTGTCTCAATCTTGATCGGCATGGTTTGGGTCACACTCAACATCACCATCCTTATAAAATTGACTTCAAATGGCATAAGATGCAACACCTTATGCCCAATGTCGAGAGGTTTGAGACTTTTCTAGCAGCCCCACACTTGGCGTGACCATCCTCACACCCAAGGCGGTTGTAGAATACGCATTTTGCAAACCAACAATCTACATAATTTGTTCTCCTAAAATTCATACTTACTTAAGCAATCAAATTCTTCAATTCACAATCCATTCGGTTAAATGATCAATTAATACCTCATGTCATCACTACATCAAAATTTATCTAATTAAATCCAAAATCCTCAAACTCATACATAATAATCTTAAAACCCTCGTAAAGCTTAATTTCATTGTCCAATAGATTGATTAGAACAACATACATGATTTAGAAAACAAAATAGCATCAAATTCACAATCATATTCATACACAATAGTACAAATTCAACAAATAACCTAGGAGGTTTATGGTTCAGTCACTTTTCACTTATCCTCATATATGCTTGTAGATTCAACAATCTTACTTTTCATATCTAAAGTGATGATCTTATTAAACAGTATGTTTCTTGTAATTTCAATCACTATCTTTTTTGTTGAATTCCTTTTACTTTAAGTTTCATAAATGTTATTAAAAAAGTGCTAGAGAAATATTCTTAAAACAAGATAACTAAAATATTTAAGTCTATTACCCATCTCTAAAAACATCATTGCACTGACTAAAAGCCTATAAATAGGCCATTACATATCAGAGTAATAAAGTTTTAAGCTTCACAAAGCAATACACAATACTATCTCTTGCAAATACCTGCCCTTTGTTTCCTTATACCTCTCGTTTTAAAAAAAACATTCAGCCTTACATATCACCAATATCTAACTATCAAACAACCTTATTTTTATTTTAAAAATATTATTAAAAACAATTATTTAACTGACTATTCTAAAATAAATTTTATAAATCACCTTATTATGCTAGTAAATTATACCGATACTCCTATTATGAGTCTTGGCTAAACTTGGAGAATGATAGTGTAATTTAATATCCGTATATAAAATATAATTATTTTTTGTAATTTAATATTAATATATAAAATATCATTATTATTTTTTTTTATTTGTAAATAATGGTTACCGAATTCTTATTTTATTTTGGTGTGAATTATAAGTCTATAATTTACGTGGCTTGCTTGGATAGTTGACGATGACACGGGGCTTCGTTAGAAAAAGAAAATGCTAGGTGTTGCTGTATAATGCCATTTTTTTCATGCAAAATCAAAATCAAATCCTCAATCTAATATTCTCTGAGTCATGATATAATAAGTTCAACTTTCTCAATTTTTTCTTCATCTTCAGCCAGCAGTCAGGGAGAGAAGAGTTTCGGTTTCATTTTAACAAGGTGATGAGAGCAAAATGTGGTAACTTCAAATTGCCTCATTTTTTAAGTTTAATTTGATGTGGGAAACTTTTTCCTTGATTTTTCCTTCACTGACTATATTATTTATTTGTTCTCTTTCAGATTGATTGTTGATTTTGCCAAATTAATTGGAATTGGAATGGTGAGTTTAAATTGTAGTTTGAAACATTAGAGAAATAAAATATGCTGAAAATTAGTTTCATCCTTGTCCCGTGTCATGACTTGCTGCTGCAAATAATTAATGATCACCGCTTTGGAGTCAACATTAAATATTGTGTCCACCACTTTCTTATCTCTATATTTTTAAAATATAACATAATTAATATAAAATGAATCTTTAAATATGTCTTTAATAAAGTTTAATTTTTGTAAAATTAATCAATTTTGATCTATTTTCTTCTCTTTATTTTTAATTCTTTTTATATTTTGTAAATATTATTTTATTCATTTTAAAATGAATAATATTGATTTTTTTTTATTTTTATCTATTTAAGTTTCAATTTATTATTATTATTTCCAATAATTAATTTAAAATAAATGAATAATATTTATTTTAAATACTTAGACAAAATACATATTTAAATATATTTAAATTTAGTTAAGTGTAACTTTTAACAACACACGAAACATTTACTAAATAATAAGTTTATATTTAAAATAAAAAATATGAGAAATACTTTAGATTGATTTTATCTTTTTAAAATATTAAAATAAATTTATATAATTTTTTTTATCAAATTCTTGTATCAATTAATCTGTGCATATAAGACGTGATTTTCGTTAATCACTTATTATTTGATAATAAATTTTGATTTTTATATTTTAAGACAGACCTTACAATCATTGGATAGAGAGACTTAATTTTAATAATTAATTTGGTTTTTAAAATTAATAAAAATCTATTTAATTATTTATTTTTATGAATAAATGTAACTTAATGATAATTTTATAAATAAATAAAGTATAAAAATATAAATATAAATCATATATAAATTTATAAATAAAAATATATGTTTTCGTTTAAATTGGATTAGATCGAAATATGATCAATAAATTATAGGTTTGAACAAATTTGATATTTTTAAATTAAATTTTAAATTAAATTTTTTAATAATAAAATGTGATTAAAAGAATAAATTTTTATTAAAAATGATTAGTCATTATGGAGACTAATTAAGAGTAAAATTCGTATTACTCTGTTACTAAACAAAAATATAAATTTAATTTAGTCCTGTATAAGAAAAAAGTTTGGCTTGCGATTTTCATTTTGTTTGATTTTGGATATATTTACTTTTTTACTTTTTTGAATGGCTTTTTATTGCATTCAATTGATTAACAAGCAATTTTACTGTGCATAATACTTGTTAAATATTATCATTTTTTAATTTTAATTTTCAGAATCAGAATGAACTTGTTTTAATTTTAGGTAGTATTTTAACTTGTATATTTTACAAATATATTTATTATATATAATTAAAATTTATAATAAATTATATATATAAATAAATAATATATTTAAATATATGAATTATATTTAAAATT